GGCCCACCGTGGGAAGAACCAGCCGGAGATGGAAGAAGAAAGACACCTGGAGAGCCAGTCTCAGGCATCTGGTACTTCATTCCTTAGCTATGTGTCCTGAATCTTTCTTCCTTTCCCTCCAGTAGCTCATGGACTGCTTTCTGTACCAGGCAACCTGCCAGAGAAGCAAGATGATGCAGAAAGAGCAGGTGCCTCCTCTCATGAAGCCATCTTCTGATGGAGGGAGGTGTGTTATTAACCCCAAAAGCCAGAAACAGTGACTACAGATAGACCAAAGAGCTGCTGCCAAGTAACTGATTGTGAAGACCAAATTTCTGAGCTGGATGTGGTGGCACACACCTGTAATCCCAGCACTTGGGAGGCTGAGACAGGAGGATTCCAAGTTCCAGACTAGCCTGAGCTACATAGTGAGCCCATCACATTTCTAGCACACAGTAGGTACTCAATAAATACATGTTGGATAAACTAATAGTACACTGTCTATAAAGTGTCTGGAATACTGTAGGTGCCCATTACGTAGCTTTGCTCTTTACAGAGGGCTGAGTTCCTGGAAATGTTGACTCTGAGTTTTGCAATCCGAGCTTCATTCCTTTCTGATTTTCATTATGAAATTGAAGATGTGCTCCTTTGGGGAAAATTCTGAGGACCTAGACTGAATAAAATTATAGTTAAGAATGTAGAAAAACCTTTTAAGAGTGTATTTAAAGGAAAAGTGATCACTTCGGATGAAATATTAATAGTTCTGAAAATGTCACTCAGTGTTTGTGCCGCTTGGCATTTGGTTGGCTAACACCCATGCTTAGAGCAGAGTGCCAAGACCTTGCACTGCCCAGGCCACAGGATTCGCGAAAAGCCAGCCTGGCTCCCCCCACCTCCTCTGAATTGTCTTCCCCTGAACAGGGAATCAGGCACCCAGGAGTAAATCAGAAAGGATGGGAGGGAAAACAACAACAACAACAACAGTAAAACAAGCAAGGATAGGGAACATAGATAGAGGTAGGTTTCTTAGAGTACACAGGCTTCTCCCAGATGCTGAAAAATCCGTAAGTGCTGTCTTTAAAACTGCATAGAGCTACATCTGATATGAATGCCACCAGCCATGTGGGGTTATTGAAATTTTAATTGTATTTTAATGTAAGTTTAAACAATCAGTTCTTGGGCTGGGGAAAAAAAAAAAGAGGTCTCAGTAGATAAAGTACCTGCCCTGTAAACATGAGGGAGGCCTGGGTTCAGGTCCCCAAAGATGACATAAAGAAGCCAGTCAGCAGAGCACAACTGTAACCCAGCACCGGGGAGGTGGAGACAGGAGGATCCCTGGGTGTCCTGCAGAGGTTAGTGTTAGCACCCCACAAGTTAGAGTCATTTGAGTAGAGGGAATCACAACTGAAAAAAAAAAATGCCTCCCTAAGATTGGCCTATAGGCAAGTCTGTGGGGCGTGTTCTTAACTAGTGATTGACATGGGAGGGCCCAGGCTGATGTAGCTGGTACAACACCTGGGCTGGAGGTCCTAGGGTGTATAAAATTACAAGCTGAGTGCTTCGGGAGAAGTAAGCCAATAAGAAGCACTCCCCCTTGGCCTCCTGCCTTCAGGTTCGTACCTTGAATACTTGCCCTGATTTCCTTTGATGATAGACTATGATAGGGAGCTCTAAACTGAAATAAACCCTTTCCTCCCCAAGTTACTTTTGTTATGGTGTTTTGTCACAGCAATAGAAACCCTAGCTAAGACACTGAGGGTGGCTGGCCAGCCAGTCTAGTGGAATCAATGAGCTCCAGGGTCAGTCTGAAAAAATTAGGGGAATGGTGGAGAATGGAACCCAGTGTGTTGACATTTTGGCCTCCACATACACATGTATATACATAGGATCTCTCTCTCTCTCTCTCTCTCTCTCTCTCTCTCCTCTCTCTCTCTCTCTCTCTCTCACACACACACACACACACCTATTTAAATAAAATAAAGTAGAAAAACAAACCGGTTCTTTACCTGCACTAGGCATAGGCACAGCTCAAGTGCTCGAGTCGCCCGTGTCTGGGATTATCTTGTCGGATAGCACAGAGAACATACTACAAGACACATGAACTCTAGAATGAGACTACTTGGGTTCACATTAAGATTTCATTAGGTTTTGAGTTGTCTGTCCCCTGTCATCAGAAACTGAGGTGAGCACTATTTACTTTAGCATATTGGTTTATTAAGGCTGTCCCACTATCTTAAAATGTAGAGATTGATTTTCTAATAGTTCTAGAGGCTGGAAGTTCAAGATACAGGACTTGAACTTTATCAGCAGAGTTGTTGTCATTTGGAAGTATGATAATCAATTTTAAATGCCAACTTGGCATAATCTAGAACCTGGAAAGAGAGTCAGTGAGCATTTGTGGGCATGACTGTGGGTGATAAGATAATGTGGTAGTTTGAATGTTATTAGCCCCTATAATCACATAGGAATGGCACTATTAGGAGGTGTAGCTTTGCTGGAGTGGGTATGGCCTTGTTAGAGGAAGTGTGTCACTTTGGGGGCGGGCTTTGAGGTTTCCTATGCTCAGAATACTTCCAGTGTTTCAGTCAACTTCCTGTTGCCTGCAAATGTAGGACTCTCAGCTCCCTCTCCAGCACCATGTCTGTCTGCACACCCGCCACGCTCCCCACCATGATGGACTGAACTTCTGAAACTGTAAGCCACTATCTCAATTAAGTGTTTTCCTTTATAAGAGTTGCCATGGTAATGGTATCTCTCCATGTAGATTTACATTGAGGTGGGAATGATCCATCCACTGTGGGTGGCACCATTCCCTGTTCAGGAGATCCTGAACTGAATAAAAAGTATATGAACTGAGCTTTTGCATGCATGCATGAAGTCACGCTTCTCCTCCCCTGACTATGGTAGTGTCACTAGCTGCTTCAGGTTTCTGCTGCCTTGGCATCCCCTTCGTGATGGACTATCACTTAGAGATACAGCCTGTCACCCTTCAGGTGCTTTTGTCAGGGTAGTTTGTTACAACAACCACAAAAAGAACTAAGACAGGATCTCCTCTCCTTGGATGTAGAAGCATCTTCTCCCTTCTCTTCAAGGGGCTCTCTCTGTGCATGGCCCTGTCTCAATCTCTCTTTCTTAAAAGGACACAAGGGGCTATGGAGATGCTCCATTGGTAAAGTGCTTGTCACACAAGCATGGGGACTTGCCTTTGATCCTCAGCACCCAAGTGAAAAGCTGGAAATGGTGGTACCTGCATGCAATCCCAGTGTTGGGGAGTCCAAGAGAAGCAACTCTCTAGAGTTGGGTAGAATGTGCTGGGGCTAGATGCTCTATTGTGAAGTAATTGCCTAACACGTAGTAACTGAGGGAGGGGGGGCCAAAACAACAACAACAAAAACAAAAACAAAAACACATAGCAGTTGCTAGAACACCTGGTGCAAAAGAGGCCCATCGAAGCTCTGTTCATTAGTTTTCTTTTTGATTACATTGAAATGTATGCTACCCAGAGTCTCTGAGCTGCAGGTTCTGGGATAAGTGGAAGGAGGCAGAATTTTAACTGGGAAGTCATCATGTGAACCACTTCAGGCTCTGATTACTTTTGTGTATGTGTGTGGGGGTGTGTTGCATGTGTATGGACACACCTCTCTCCTATATGTGCATGAGTACATGTATGTGCACATTGAT